TAAAAGAAAGTACTTGGTTTAAAGCAATTAAAAATTTTATTAAAAATAAAACAAAGCCATTCTGGTATGGCTTCACAAGTTAGCTTGGTGCAGCCCTCCGGTGCAGGCATATATCTTATTCGATAAGGCAGACTGTCTCTGGGCGCTCAATAGAGTAGCCAGAGAATGTCAGATCTGTAGCTTAGATAGTTGCATATATGTTTATGTATATGATTTGATCTAATAAAGATACCGGCAAGGCTGCCAATATATATAAAAAAAAAAATAATAAAAAAAAAAAAATAAAAAATATGAAAATAATAATAAATTGTTTTAAAATTAAAATTAGAGAATTATATTTGTTTTTTGATTTATAATTCAATATAGTAAAAATACTATTAAAAAAATTCTACTTATTTTCAAAATAAATTACTTGTTTGTTTATTTTAAAACCTTTTAATAGTCAAATGTGACACAGTTTTATATATAAATTACTATAAACATAAAAAAAAATTTTCTAGTGATTATTCAAGAAAATCTTTTTTTGTATTAAGTTAATCACTTTTGAGTCTTTAAATAAAGTTGTAAAGCTCATCAAGATGAATTTAATGGTAGTTAAATCATCTAAATCAGCCTGGTAGATACCAAGATATCTTTGAAAAACTTTTCTTTAACTATATAAAAATTCTTTGTATTGTTCTTAATGAATTTATATAGTAAGTAAAAGGTTTTTAAAGATATCTTAACATCTATCAGGCCAATTTGAATAATTTAACTACTATTAAATTCATCTCAATAAGTTCTACAACTTAATTTAAAAACTCAAAAGTAATTAACTTAGTACAAAAAAATGTTTACCTTGAATAATCACTAGAAAATTTTTCTTTTATATCTATAGTGATTTACATATAAAACTGCGTAATATTATACTATAATTATTCTTCAGTTTACTAGAGAATTGTTTATTAAACTAGAAGATACAGTAAATTTAAGAAACTTAATATTTCAAGAAAAAAATATTGAACTATATAAAAATTTAACCAATATTCTTAATCACAGTATTGAAAGCAGTAGTAGCATTAATATAGATTTTGATTTAGAAAATTTTGTTAACTCAGTTTTGAATACTAATTTAGATAACTTTTTAATATTTAAAGTTTAGTTTATTTAGTAAAATAATAATACTATTTCAATTTTATATATTCTTGAAGTACCAATATATAATACAGATTTATCAATTTAAAAAAGTAAAATTTGAATTTGAATAACCTGTAGAAATATTTGTTTATTAAAATTGTTTATAGTATAAGTGAAATAGCAAAGATAAAAAACAATATAATGGAATTAAAAAAACTAATAATATGCTTTTTTCTAAAACTATGTTGTTATTATATATTTGTATAAAACATTGTAAAAATACTTAAAAAAATTAATATGTTAAAATTAATATAAAACAATAAATTTTATATAATTGTTTATACAAGCATAAAACCAGATTACTCAGTAGAAATTAAATATTAGTACATATTAACTTTTAAGAAATATCTATAATAAATTTCAATAGAATAAATTACAAAACTTCATTATTTTTACATCTTTATGAAAAGTGTTTAAAGTATAATTGTGGTATATGTCAATATTGTAACACATATCAAATATTACAATTCATATCAAATATTATAGTACATATTAAATATCAAGATATATGTCAAGTATTATAACAATTATTCAGCAAATATTATATATATACTGACAGAAAAAATTCTATATTATCGCTACAGATTATTATTAAAATCATGTGATATGTAATAATATTAATTTTTTAACATTTTTAATAAAAATTTAATTTATTAAAACTAATTTTTATATTTCAAATTTAATTAAAAAAAATAATAAAAAATATAATATATTTCCTTCTTGTAACTATAATAGGTGTATATAATGCTACTTGATTAGTAATAAATGTTTGTTAACCTGATAATTTTGGAATATAGAATCTAAATATTGATTTTTTGCTAAAATTAGATTTTATTAGAGTTAGAGTAGATATTGAATTACTTAAATCTATGAATAATAGTATAATTAAAATATATTATAAATAATAAACTAGTAATTAGAATAATATATACCAAATTCTCATTATATTGTTTTAGCACATTATTAAGTATAAATATTTTTTTTCTGTTATTATATTTGAATCTAAAAAAAAATCAAGTTAACAAAAACTATATTATTTTATAACTAAATAGGATAAGACCACACAAAATTGATAATCATTTTGCATTCTATAAATTTTAAAATTTCTAGTCAGTTGGATTTTTTTCTTTTTTTATATCTAAGATTGCAAATTTTAATTTTTTACTTTGTATAATATAGAATCAGAAATTGGGTTGGAAGTTGAATTTTTTATCAGTTTTGTCAAATAGTTTCAGAACAATATAACTCTATCAGGTATATTGGAATAATTTTAAAAAAAATTAAATAAAAAACATAGAATAATTAGTGCAATTAGGCTTAAAAAAAAATGAGAAATTAAAAAAATGGGCTGTCAATTAATGCAAAACGAAAAACCAACTTTGTGTAGCTTAATCTTTATAACTTTTTTTTGATTTGTAAGAATCATATATATTGCATGGCTTAATAGCTAGATATTCTTTCAATTATTATATATAAGAAGCATGAATATTTTAACTTAGATTACTTCTGTCTATTCATTTTAATCACATAAAAAATTTGCAAGGAAAATCTTTAAGCTTATAATTGAGTATATCTCTATATCTGTCAGCTGATCGTAACCATATTGTGATACATTTTTGTGATACATTTATCTGTATTTTGTACTCTTGAGAGTTTAAAAGCTCTAATAAGTCTTTATAGGATAATAGTTATTATAATATTGAAATATCAAAAAAAGAGTTGGATCAAAACACAATTGTTCTCTTATTATTATATACTCATTATTTGAATTATCAGTGCTTATTATTAATCAAAGAGTGCTTATTTGGGCAATAATATGGTTCTGTCAGTGTATATGTAATACTTGCTGAATAAACTAGTTATCTGTCACATCATGCCAAATAACAAGAAAATATCAGTTACAACTTTTTAACATCTCATTTTATCATTGAGTTACATCCAATTGACATTATGATCAGTCACAAAACTACCATATTTCTGATACAAGTGCAGAAGATAATAAAGTTAAAAGGCATGTGTTAATATGAATTCATGAATGTGCTTTTGATGAATCTTTTGAAACACTAAATACTGCTATTGAAAAAATGGAATTACAATGTAATATTTTATAAATTTCATAATTTCAAATTAATGTTTTTTATGTGGTGACATTTTCATTTTGTTAACAACATAAATATTTTTAACTCACTTAGAAGTATCTATTTCAAATCTCCAAGATGAATTTCTGATGTTGAATTGATGGGTCCAAGAACAACGGTTTTATTACAAGAAGTATTAGATATTGCTGACCATGCCTCTACTTGTGTTACTTCCGGATCCAATATCTGTTATTGTACGTACGTACGTACGTACGTAAAATATACAGCATACATAATTATCGCGATGATCGACAGGTTTAAAAGCGGAAAATGGCCTGATACAGTATGAAGCACCAAATGTGTGCGCACAGTACGTACGTACGTACGTGATTAATATACGCGCCTAAAATACAAAATTGTATTTTCAATGACAAGATTTGCTAATCACCATAAATCTGATGCTTAAAGAAAAGGAACATTTATGTCATTACATAGAAACAATGAAAAAAAATTGGGTTCAAAACATCGGGTGAGCGTTGACAAAATTAAACGACACTGCGTTAATATAATCACTTCATATAAATCACATGCCCAACATTACGACAAACAAACCCTTGCAGTTATCAACAATCGTGAGAAAACTGCTATTATTCAAACAGTACTTTGGTAATGATCTGTAAGCCGAATTAGCGGTTTGTTTTGTTTCCGGTTGAATTACTTGTTATGTTTTATTAAAACATCAACCCCATGATTTTTTTTTTGAAATACAGAAATATGTTACCTAATAATATGCATGCATATGCATATCGACGAATTTACCAATATTGTTAAGTACAGGTCATCAATCAAAGTTATAATAATTTTTATAATCATTTGACCCTTAACAATAAATTTGGAATATTAACAACTTCTTAAACCATATTAGACTGCCACACTCCTTACTAAGATAAAATGAGTTTTTAATCATTACTACGTACGTATATACAAAACTTATTACATTTAGGAAAAGTGTAGTAGTGATTGCTCTGATGATCCAAGTTGGGAGTGTAGTCACACTTATTATATATAGTACGTATTGACCATGTTTATGAATACGTAAGGGTGTTACATTTGATAAAATATTTATATGTAAAGCTGTGAAACTAAAATAACGAATTCATACGTATCGATGTATATATTACAGATCGACATAGACATTCACACTACATTAAATAAAACTTTCTCTCATTTATAGCACAATTATAAAAATATGAATTCTGTACGGTTGCTAGCATTGACGTTACCCATTATAACAATTCTGCTAATATTTGTAAATGCATCTCCAGCCTACCTTCCCGGGGAACGAAGTGGTCATACTGCATTCTTGGTAGACAGTAAACTATATTTTCTAGGTGGAAAAAACAAATATGACCAACGAACAAACGATTTTTTTTACCTTGATGTCTCAAAGCCCTTTTTAATTTCAAATTTAACTTTTCTCCCTTTTCATGACCTTTCATACCTTTCTACAATTCTTCCTCCACACCAAAGGGGTACTGCCTCCTTGTGTGGTAACACGTCTATTTATTTCTTTGGAGGTGAACGTGATCATTCAGCAAAACCAGATTCGTTAATTTATGCTTTCAACTCTGTCATTCAACAATGGTCTCATCCAAAAATCAAAGGTAATGAGCCAAACATAAGAAAACAATTGACCTCAACTTGCGATTCCAAAGGACTGATGTATCTATATGCTGGATTAAGTGATGAAGATATGGGATTACCGTTGAAAATTTATAATAATTTTGATATCTTGGATACTTTAAATTTGATTTGGAGTACTTCCACTGAAAGTGTTTTTAATCCTTCTCCCGAATTTAACAATGGATTTTCTGCTACCATGTTGAAGAATGGTATAATTGCTTACATTGGAGGATGGAACAATGATGGATATCATGATATGAGTAAGGTTTGTATATCATTAATTTTTGCGAATCTATCCGTTTTTTAAAAGATTCTTTGATGGTTTGATTTAATATTTAGATCATGCTGTATAATACAAATACAGCTTCATGGTCCGTTATGGTAAGAATTTATTCATTTATTCATTATATATATTTATTTATACTATTTAATTTTATATTACATAAATTATAATTTAACTATATTTTAAACTTATAATTTAACTATATTTTAAACATATAATTTAACTATATTTTAAACTTATAATTTAACTATGTTTTAAACTTATATAGAAAACAAATGGACAAATTCCTGGAAAACGTGCTATGCATACATCAGTTCTTAGTAAGCTATATAATTTTTTTTATCCTGAATTTTGTCCATTGACTATCATATGTTAACAAATGCTTACAATTCAGCCAAGGACGATCGAATTCTAATTTGGGGTGGTGAAAATGGCGGATTGCCGGCAGAACCTCAATTAGCGGTATTGGACACACAATTCAGATGGTCGATCCCTGACGTAACTGGTGCCAAGAATTCAATTGAAATCTTACCTTACTATGCCCATACTGCTTCTATGATTGACAATTACATGATTATTGCTTTTGGTACTTACAAATTAATTTTAATACGTATAAACTTTCATAACTGATAATGCTAACTTTATTCTTATACGTAAATCTTTGTCAATTCATATTAGGATTAACATATGATAGATTACATAATTTACAAATTCCTAGTAATCTTATATTTTTGTTATACACACCAAATCAACATCATTATGAATGGACTTCTGTTTTTATTCCATCTATTCTTCCTGACGATGTCTCAGCATACTTTGATTCTCCAGAGAAACCACCCGTAATTTCACCAAAAGATCCAATAAAACGACCTATATTAACGACTGATGCATTGGTTGTTATAATATTATTAGTTGGTACACTTGTTGGATTTGTTGGATGGCGTTTATACAAATATTACATCGAAAATAAAGGTAGAGCTGGATATTCTTTGTTACCAACTAATGATTGGACTAATGAGTTTTGGGATGGTGAATAATTTATCAGGTACTGTATTAAATTTATTTATTTTTTACGTAATTAAATCTTATGTTAATTGCATATGTTTTTGTCAACACTAATATCTTCAAAAAAATTTACATCACGAACAGAAAACTCTTTTTGAAACTTAATTAGGAGGATGTAAAGTGATACAAAAGTCACTTTTTGATTCATCGATTGCTACGTTGTTGGTTAACGTAATAGTTAACTCAGTGTTATACTTTCAAAATAATAGACATATGAAACAATTTGAATTGGACTATTTCAATTAGTCAAAATAATTTAAATGAAATATAGATTCAAACTTATATTATAAATTATAAATTATATTATATCTAGTCTGATTATAACTTTAATATGTATAAAATTTTTCAACCCTTTAAATAAATATATTTATATAATTAAATTAATGAACCATTTTTTACTTAAATTTTTATAAATGAGTATACCTTGGTGTTTAATACCAGTATACAGTATAATATTACAGTATAATATGAAGATTATTATTAAATTTTTTTTAATTTTCGTTTTTGATAGGGTTTTAAAAAAGAGCCTCTAAAATACTATACCACTATAGCAAAGTATAAAAAAAAAAAATTAGGACTAGAGTTCCCTAACAAGAATAGTATTCAAATAAAATTTTTTTTTTAAGATTATCCATCAAGAATAGTATTCAAGTAAATTTTTTTTTAAGATCATCCATCAAGAATAGTATTCAAATAAATTTTTTAGGACTGGGTGAACCCGCGTTGAATCCGCTACGTAGATCACGTTAGGGTGAAATCCGTGCTTAGCTATGTTTTTATTATGCCAAAGCGAATTTCACCCTCATGTGATCTACGTAGCGGATTTTACTAATTTACAACGCGGGTTTCACCCTGCCATAATTTTTTTTTTTTAAGTTCAATACTGCGTTAAGATTAGAAATTTTCTATATACGTATATAATTAATGCACCAATTTTATACGTACGTACGTACGTACAGTACGTATTAATTGTAATTAATTATAGCATCAATTTTATAATATTACAAAAACTAACCAATTTTATAGGTAATTAAGCATGATGCCAAATTTAGATATTTAGATAATACATTCTTGGTTACCCTATCCTGTACCATCCACCACAATCACGCCGTCCTATAACCTTGTGCTGCTTCATAACCTATAGCAGAAGTGTTCTTTAGCTGTTTTGTTCTTACCGGTTTTTCCTAACGTTTTAACTATACTATAGGTCTTAACTGAAGACCACCTAGATCGACATCTGCTATACTACTTGTACCCTAATTCTATAGATAACCCAGTAGGGTTCTCATACTACCAGGTTGCCC